AATCTGGATGTAAACATAACTAATTAGCCAATCATGATTTATATCAGCATACACAACAGCTAAATGCCAATACCCAATCATTAAAAAACAAACCAAAGCAAAAAAAGCATGCTATATACCAAGTCACAGAACAAGAAGGAGAATTCGCCTAGTCCAACCTGCCAGATCAAGGCTTTGTCCAGTCAGTGAAGCAAATGGAGATTTCACCACCTCTTTGGGCTGCTCCAACGCCGAAGTACTCAAGTACTCTCATTGTGAACATTTCCATCCTTATACCTAGTTCTGTTTCAACTTATGACCATTATCCCTCATTCTCCCACTGTGCAACTCAGTAAAGAGCACCTTTTGCTATGCACCACCATCCTCCTGGTAACACTCTCTTAGGTACTGGGAGACTGCACAGCTAGTCATTTCATTACAGAAGGCAATCCCATGAATCAAACATTATTCTCTTGATTGAAACTAGCAAACGCTTTCTTCACAGGTACAGAAATTACTTTGAAGCAGACACGGTCCATCATTTTCCCAGGGATAGTGGTTGACCAACCTGCAGTACCCCAGACCTTCCTTCTTGCCCTTCTTGAAAATGGGTACAACATTAACCTTTCTCCTATTATTGAAGACCTCCCCCAATCTACACAGTCTTTCAAAGATGACAGAGAGAAGCCTGTCAATGCCATCAGTCAGCTTTCCTTGTACCCTCAAGAACCCCCCTGCCTGGACTCATGAACTTCCATGGGTCAAGATTTTTCATAAGATCCCTGACTCAATTCTCTTCCATTCACCCCTTTCCTCCCTGAACTGCATCTATGAGAACAAAGGCCTGTGAGTTCTTATTCATGAAGACCTAGACAAGGAAGTAATGGAACACCTCAGCCCTACCAGTATCTGCTGTGACTAAATCACCTGCCCCACTTAGCACCGGGCCCACATTTTCCACAACCACTTACCACTTTTCTCCCTCGCGGTCTTCCAGCACCTTCACTTTGCCTCCTCAACACCCATTTTCCTCCCAGACGCCTTAATCTCCTCATAGAGCTTCTGTTGCTACCATCTAAACCCTTCCAACACCTCACACCCTTCTGCCTGTGGCCGCTCATGAGCATCATCACGCAGAGTCAAAGACAGTATGCCTCGCAGACTTTGTCTGTTCCTCTGGTGTTTTCATCTGTATTTGCTCCTATACTCTTCAGTACATATTTCTTAGAGGTTCAGAGTGACATTTTGAAAATAAGGGATCACTGAAATGACATATGGCACTGGTTATAGTATGCTCAAAATGAATATAAATCAGATTTGCTTAGATAGCTATTTTTCTTAGATTATTAATCACCTGTTTGCAAAGAACTCTTGAAAAAATATTTGTAGTATTCAATCTTTGAGTTCACACTCCTATCTGCTGCCGTACAGCCACTTGACACTGTTTATAGTTAAGATAAACGCATTTATTCTAGAAACATACCTTGCTTTTAAAACTGCTTAATAACTTTTCTAGACAAAGGTTCAAGGTATTTTTTTTTTTAGTCAATACACATCCAAAGGCCAAACAAATGCATCTGTATACAGCACAGCGAAAAAGTAAAGTGTAGAAACTACTAACCAAAGGCTAGGGAAGCAGCCCAGTCTGTGTGTTAACTAGCATCAAGCCCAAGGGTCTATTCATTTAAGTTTGGAATCAGTTATGGTGTTACCCATTAAAGGTTTATAATACTTTATTTCTGCTCAAGACAGACATATGTGCAGGGGAAAATAAACAAATCCGTAGACAGTCAAATTCACACCACAGGATCAAAAATAATTCTTGCTTCATTTCATAAGGAGAATTCCTAATATACTTCAATTTCCTCTAGAATTTTAATTAGATTGGAAAAAAAGAATGCAGGAACGGAGTTCAAGGACTATTTTTCATAGCAACAATTATTCAAGATGAGTCACCCCTATTATATCTTCTCAAGAAAGCCATTTTTTATAGCTCATCCATTTTTAATTAGATAAAGCCTCTATGTTCTGTTCGCTCTTTTCATTTGACTGCTGAGTCTTCTCACAAATGCTCATTTCCTCACAGCTACAGCACGATGAACAGAAAAGCAAACCACCATTCGTCTGAACAAAGACACTCCCACGCAGCACAGTATCTGTGTCTGGGAGCCCTGCTGTAGAAAAACACATGCCCACAGTTATTCAAAGATTCCACTTCAGCCGCAGTGCAATGCACTAGCAGGCATGAATAGCCTTTCTTTTACCTTGTTTATTCAAGTACCATAATCCACTACAGCCTGCTTTTAAGTATTTGATATCCTACACTGAGGAGATTAAATAAGCTCACTGCCAAATGAAAAACTTCAGCTGTGCTGTTGATTTTTTGTAAACTTATAAAACCATAATCTGATGGTCTTGTCCTTAGAGACTAAAAGGCCTTTGCTTTAGGATTTTATATTTATTGTGCTAGCAAAGTCAATCCTATCTCTGACAAACTGATTTCTTGATAGGTTCTCTCCAGCCTTGAGTGCATTTGAAAGCAAAACAGCAATCTCTCTAATTTCCATACCGCTCCTCAGGTAATTAATCAAATATACAATCCAAACCTACTTCCTTTCCAAGTGCATTACTGCAAATTAGTCATTTGTGGGAGAAAAAAAAAAAAAAAAAAACATAAAAAAAAGGGGGCTGTATTTTACATCTTGTTTAAAAAGAGTCGTTACTGGTAAGGTGGAAGATGGGTGATAATAATACAGCATTTAAATAAGTAAATATGCACAGGGATGCACACAGAGAGCACATGGGTGTGATCTCATTTCTCATGCCTTCAGTGAAAGGGGTCATGACCCTTCAGACTTTAACCTCATTGATTCTGATTTGTCATCTTGGTTCTCAGAAGAGAAATTTAACCCATCTGGTTTTCAATTTTACGAGGTCATGAGCCATAAAACAAAATCTAGCTTTAAAAAAAAAGGAGATATATAATCTTCTCTCAATGTGTAAAAGTAGATTACACAGATGTTTCTGTTAGGTCAGGACAAACTTACAAGAGAAGAAAAATCCTCTCCACAATATTACACATTTATATGTCTGCTACTGGGCATTTCTTTTTCGTTGTACTTACACATCTCTAGTCTTTCTCTCAAAACAATACACAATGGTCAACCTTAAATTCCCACCAACACAAAGGTGGGAAAATTCTGCCTTTGATGCCATCACAGCAATATTCAGCCTAGTGCCCCAATGAGGCAACAATTTCATCAGAAGTTATAGTTACATTTCCTACTACAGCGGGGCGAAAACAAACGTCCCACCCTTTCCTCTGCTCTATGACAACATCAGGCAATACCACCAGACAGAGGTCAACCTGCATCTAAGCTGGACATTTCATCGATTGGTTCATACCACCAGCAAGGCATTTAGCAGTGCTAGTGAACGGTGGATTTTCTGTTTTCTTAAAAACACAGCTGAGAAGTTTGCAGCCTCCCTCTCCCCAGCCACAAAAGCCATAGAGCTTCAGCGACATACCCCACCCCCGCCACAAAATGCCCACACCATGTGAAACATTTCACATACACAAGAGTTTGTAAGGTCACGTACAGTGTTTTCAGCAGCCACCAAAGCTAGAGTACCATCACCACAGTCTCTTGAAGGACTTATAATATGGGGATCCTTGGAATTCAGAGAAGTTCATAGTGCTTTATACATATAAATAATACAACAAAACTAGTCATTTCAAACAGCACAGCACCTTCAACAGAGGACTAACTCACATTTTGTTAAAAAAACACTTAATGGTTCACCTGTTTCATGTACTTCAAAAAAGGAAATGTCCTAGTAAAATGCAACATGCGGGAATACTTTTTTAAGCATATCTTTAAAACACTTCTGGCATCTTCCAAGTTTTGAGAAACAGCAACAGAAAATGGGATATAAAACCAGACAATAATTGTTTCTAATACTATTTCTCTAATTGCTTTGCAACCCAAAGGCCAATCAGGTTCTTGTGGACCGCATCCACCTGAAGTCCTGTTCCCTTCTCCAGCATAGCAAATACACACTGAGCTGTTAACTGCAGTAACGCTAATTAAAAGACAAAAATCATGACTACATTAACAGTGAAATTGCCAATTAGCACATAAGGCTCCCTCATTACTGCTAATGCTTGAAATGGAAAGCCCGATGTGGATATTAGTCATAAAAATAAAAGACGTTTTTAAAAAGCCAGTAGGTCACATTTTCAGCTTACTCCAGAAGTTCTGCTAGAATCAGTAGCTAAGAAGTTGACCTACAGGAAAGAAAGAAATTCCTACAACATTTTGTAAAAACCACTAAAGGAAAATATTGCCATTTTCCACATCTGCACTCACAATGGCTTTCAGAGGAAAGAGTACTTGCCCCACTGCAGCCACTAGAAAGTGGCTTTAAAAAATTTACATTAAAAAAGGCAAAAAGACTAACATTTCAGTGGACAATTTCCCCTGATTTTATACTCCATATAAGGTTTCCCCATAAGAGACTAACGGATTCTGAAAGCAGTCCAGGTGATCCTAGTGTCCGTTATTCTTTAGAAGGAATATTTATTCTTGTGTCCTTCAGAATCTTTCAATGACTATTTAATGGAAGTCAATTCAGATCTCCACAACCCTAGAGCTGCTTCCATAAAGTGATTGTGCTCTTCATATAGTCTGCATTTCCTCAGGTCTCTTGATTTTTTTTTCCTTTTCTTTTTAAACATTTTAAATTCTAATTCAGAGGTCTTACGGTAAATAAAACTGAAATACTTTCAGCATTATCTTCCTCGTGAGAACTGGAGTATATATTTGGTTTTCACTTCCTCCCTTTTAATCAAGCATTTTGTTGACCACAATCAATTTCTTCACTCAGGAGAAAAATGTGCAATTATCTACAATGAAGAAGGTGTGTCTAAGGAATAGGGTATGGGGAAGAGAAATCAATGGAACCATCTGTCTGACATTCCTACAACATTATAAGAGACTTGTAATTAACTGCTTGCCTACCAAAGTCTGCCAGCTTTAACTCCCCCGTGTCACTGATCAGAAGATTCTGTGGTTTCAGGTCCCTGTGCAAAATGTAACGCTGGTGGATGTAAGACAGTCCTCGCAGCAACTGAAATAAAAATAACTGAAAAAGAGGGGGACAAAAAATGACCTCTGTTAATATTTTGCATATAACCACAGGTGATTTCTTCACAATATGCAGGGTGCTTGCATATTGTGGTAACATTGTGTCAGAATTCCTCCCAAACTGGCCTAATCACCACCCAAATTTAACACAACAGAATTTTCATCTAAACCATACATACTTTACAAGGACTAACCCCAGCCTCCAAGCCCTACTATATCATAGATTCAATTTGCCTGCTTTAAAAAGAACAAGAGCAATACAACTGTGTGCAGAAAGCTCAGTTTCTACCAAATTATAATTATATTCCATTTACCCATATGGCCTTAGAGATTAGGTGGTAGCCTGAAGACAGATGTGTATCTTCACTCATTATGGGAAACAACACTACAGGGTGGATAGGGATGGGGAGATAGGCTGGGGGATGGGATACTGGAGCTAAAACAAAGAAGAAATTAGTAGTATAAGAATAATGCCTGTGTACCCAAGGAAATCTGCAAGTATGATAGGATTTCTCCTTCAAAGTTCTTTTAATGGGCATTGCTTATGTATTTTTCATTAGGAAATAATAATTATCGATGAACCTAAAGATGACTTTTGAAACCTACTTATAATAGTCTTGAAGGTAAATGTAGATAGGAAGCTAAATCATCTCC